TAACCTTGAAACATACCCGGTACAAATCAAGGGGGGTACAAATCAAGGGGGGTACCTTATACGGCGTTTTACGGTAGTTTGCAAGCTGACAATACCAAAATTAAATAGTAAATTTTTTATATACCGCATCTAGAGTATCCAGATCCATGCAATTTAAAATGTATTTTTATGCGATATAAGAAATTCTGACTATGCAATATAAATGCAATTAAAAAATTGGAAAAGATAAACATACTAATAGTGATTAAATTTCGATTTAATTAATCAATATTGTTATTTACACTATATAGTTACATTAAAATAGATTAATTTATTACGCATTTTATGTGTCAAAAATGTATTGCACAGTCTGGACACTATAACTGACTATGTCCCAAAGTCATGTGATCTATTTATTCCTATTGAGATGCAAAAAAAAGATTACATCACTGATCACATTTATGCATCTATAATCTTCATGCTGATTTGTTCTATAGGAAAAAACTCCGAAATCATCCAGATTTGTCTTGATTCATATTGTCCGATATTATCCCGATAGCTCTATAAACTGGTCAACTAGACATTCATGACATTATCCCGATTTTAACTGTATGGTTCTAATCCTGAAATATTACGTCTAAAAATATACACCAATCATACCGAAATCAATAACTTAATCGAATCAGTTAAAACTCATTTTGATTAGGTGTCCAGAATTTGAAAAGAGCTGTAATTCTTTGTCATATTATCACCCAGGTGGTCTTTTTATATTAACCAGGTGACCGACGGGTCACCCGGGTGGGTGAAGGTTTTTTAGACGGGTCAAATCACTACTTTGTTCTATATTATTAAGTTAAACAATATCGCTTGCACGTATTTGATCCAAAATCACATCTAGGCTAACTTACTTGGCAATTAACTTTTATAAAATGAATTAAATAAAAACTATTTTAGATTATTGAAGCTTAGGTCTTGTTAAATAAAACACAAAAATTTTCATACTACAAAATACCGATACTATTCTTGTATTCTTTTAAGATCGTAATCTCGTACTGCACATATACATGGTTCTGTATTTTTACGTGGTCTACCCCTTGGCATTGTCACTAGCAAGAATTTGGGATCCCAAAAAAAAATATTTTAGACCCAGAAAACTAAAGTCTTGTTGAATATATATATAAACACGAACATTTGCATACCTCAACTCCGAAACTAGTCTTGTATTCTTTAAGATCTTTGCCACATACTGCAAATAAACCTGTATTTTACGCGGTCTATCTGCTGGTATTACCACTAGTAAAAATTTTTGATCGGTAAAAAATAATTTTTGATCAAGGAAACTAAAGTCTTGTTAAACGTAAATATGAAATATCTGCCTACGTTTGTTTTTTTTTAAAAAAAACAGTTGTGAAACTTTTTCAAATTTTATTATTGGATTCGGTGAATTAACCAATTAGTAACGTGAATTTTTGCAATAATCAAATCTGTCCATATGTAGATCATACACCTAATATTGATATGACAAAATAGGTAGGCCACGTAATTTAGGCAAATATTAATAAAAAATTTATCTGGAATTGTATATTACGTAATCGAATTAAAAAATTATATATAGATATTTATATAACCATACCGATACAGGCAAATAAAATTACAGAATTTAGTTAGTCAAGCAAGAATAACCATTTTTAAACATGGATTTTAAATTTTATAAATAATATAAATATATGAAAAAGAACAAATTTGTCTATGCACTTCAATTTGCGACTAGACATTTTTTTCATACAAATTACTATTAATGACTAATCGATTTTGAATTGATTTGAATTCATTAATACAAATTACCATTAAATGACTAAATGATTCTTTAAACATACAAAACATTAAACATTTCAACAACTATATAGTGATAGTGTATCTTTCTAAGGACTAGTACAACTAATTTAACTATTTTAAACCCTTTTTTTATTTCTTATTAGTGAGTGTGAAGTGTGACACATAAATGCCAAGCATTATAAGTGTAACAGAAAGTCCCATCGGAATCCTATCGGCCGACATCGATGAGTTTGGGCAACTGCGGTAGTGGCGTTGATCATTTAACCCGAACTTTGGGGTGAAAGAAAAAGGAATTTATTTGAAGGTCGTAGATGCCACGTGCCTTTTGATTTACAAATTGATTAGTAATCAATTTAAAAAAATTAACTATCTCTAAAAGAGATATAACGTACGTACGTAAGTACTTACGTAGAAACTATTAAGCCTTTATCGGTAATTTAAACAAAAATCCAAAGTCGAAATACTTTCGTTAGTACATACGTCATGTATAACAGTGGCTGAATCATCTACTACGTAGGAACATGTCACGAATAACAAATAAAATTATCGGTGTTTTAAAACCGAGTTACACTAATAAATCGTCGTGGAATTTTAACTCCAGTTCTAGAAAATCAAGAATCTTAAATTAGTGTGTGTATAAATTATGTATACAAAAAAGTATGTAATAAAGTCAAATACCGAAATTGTAATATATAAAATTAACTTTTTTTATACATCGAAATCTTCAGATCTTTTTGACAAGTGGTTGACATTTCTTTTGCTTTGGATAAATAAACAATAAACTTACACACACATGACGTGACATATAATTATAAGTGTAAGTGTAAATGTAAGTAGGTGCGTAGGTAGGTACAAGTACGTACTTGTACGTAGATAGCAATTCATAGAAGGCATTAACACCTAATGAAAACATTGAAATTCATGATTAGTACATAAAACCAATCAGCAACGTGGAAGCCAACACGAATATATAAATAGATGTAGATTACTAAAGTAAAAATAAAGATAAAAAATTGGTTGTACCACAATGAATGCCAAGTCTGTAAATAATATTTTTAAAAAAATCAAATTCTTTCTTTCTTTACCAAATTGATTATTCATTCTTTGTTCAATCGTCATTTACTTCAGGAATAAAAAAAGGTTAAACGTGAGTGAGAATCGTTTGTTTGTTAATTTCATAGAAAAGAAAAAAATCCGGAATTAAGTTTATAAACGCAATAATGTAAATCAATTTTGTAATACCATTTGATCTTTTCCTAAAATTTTCTAAAGATTGCGGTAATAAAATTTCCCGGATAATTCTTTCTTTGTTCTTTTCTTTCATTTGTTATACGAATTTGTCGTCATTTATCCACGCGAGATTTATGCTAAATTTTTTCGTATATATTCATATATATTCATATATATTCATATATACTCGTATATATTCGTATATATTCATATATACTCGTATATATTCGTATATACTCGTAGATACTCGTATATATGAATATAATTTATAAATTAATCCCAAAATGGCGTAAAAAAAATAAAGTGGTGTCATTTTATAACGCTTACTTGGGACATGAAGGCTAATTCATACTAATTGGTCCGTAGGCAGATAATGATATCGATATAGTTAAGTACATGCGTAATACGTAAATGCGTGTATCCAGACGGAAAAATTATCGTATAAAAATTTAATATATCCGACATTATTAAAGCATTCTATTGTATTACTTAATATATCAAATATTACGCATATTATTAATGCATTTGTAAAAAAAAATATATATATAAATGTCAATGTCAAAATTTTAGATCACTAATTCGAAGCAACATGAATAATTATAAACAAATTATCGATTGCTTTACGGGATCTCATCCAAATTTTCCTTTTACACCGGTCTTCAATAATATTGAAGACATCGCTCGTTTAATGCCTGATACATCGAAAACTACAAACGATCGGGCAATGATAGCAATAACCGTTGATTATGTTGCGCGTACTGAAGCTCGGATTAATGATAGAGAAGCTATTCGAACGGCTACAACATATTATTTATTACAACTTCAACATCGCGAAAATCGGAACCTAAGAAATATATATAAACATCTAGCACGAAACGTAAATCGATATAACGCTACAAGGAATCGTTTCCACCAGAATAATGTTCGGTTTCACCAGGTCAATATTCGTCATGGGCATTTACGGAGCCGTACCCGTCTTCTTTGAGATTACCGAGCTTTAGCTGGATAACTATCCGGTCGTCTGGTTGATCCAGGAATTTTTATTAAGGATAAGTCGAAGAATTAGAGCTGGCTGTTTACTGTATGTAGTTCAAGTTCTATTATACAGTAAGATGCTATTACAAGATAGAATTTAATATGGCATTAACGAGCGAACTTTTGGCTATCGAAATTCATTCCTTTTTTTTTAACATAAATACACTCGATTCTTTTGTCCCGGAGACAAACACATTCGAAATTTTTATCGTAATGACATTCGGTCATTTTAATCGCAAACACATTCATCTTTTTTACAAAAACAAACACAAACACAACCGTAGTATTTCCTTTTTATTATTGATCATTATATTTAATTATGTACTTAAGCTTTTACCTTCCGAATTATGAATAATTATGTTATTATACATTTAAATTATATTTAAATTATATTATATATTATATTTAAATTATATTATATTTATATTATATTTAAATTAAATTAGTCAAAATTTTACGCTTTGTATTGAAGATAAAAAACGAAAAAAATCAAAGAATCAATAAAAAGTATCATTTTGGTATATAGTTAATTAATTCTAGTAAACAAAATTTTCATAAATTATTGATTACCAGCGATATTTTTAAAATTTCTATAAATATATAAGATAATAACTATAAATAAATAGATAGGGTATATGTTTACGTATACGTATATGTATGCTAAGTATACGTATACATTGTGTAAGTATATATTATACATTATATGTATACATTATTATACATTATATGTATACATTATTATACATTATATGTATACATTATTATAC